TACCATTACCAGCCTTCACAATATTTGTTCTTCTATATAACTCCACAACATTAGCAAATAATGAAGAGTGTAGAAGAGTAGATTTTATGTTGTAATGAGTTTTACATTCCTGACCTGAGGGAGACAATTATAGAGCTTGGGAAATCTAAGTAGTATACAATATTTTGTTTAGACATAATTAATATTACAAGAAAATCTGTTACTATATTTAGGTATATTATGTACTGTCCCTTAAGAATTATAGAATAATTTAGAGATTATATATACATATATATGTGACATTATATATATATATATATATATATATATATATATGAGTTGAAAAAAATGTCACTTATCAGAATAAGTAAATCTTTTATAGTGACATTGAAAATGTTCCCAAACTAGTTTTCTTATTTGCCTTAAAGAGGTCCAGAAATTTTCACAACTCAACTTGAAGGAATCCATTTTCGTATGTCCACTATTAATAGTCTATAAAATCTCGCTTCAAACTTTAACCCATGCATATCAACACATCATATAGAAGCTTGACATCTATGTTGTAAGCCCTAAAATAGCATGCTTATTCTCCTTTTTGCCCTACAAATTAGTATTTGTCAGAAAGAAAGGCCTTTCCTCACATCAGAAAACCCTCAGAGGTAATAGCACAGCAAAAGAAGAGGAACATATTTCTCTATGAATTACAGGGCTTCTGCCATGATTATATATGGCATGTGTTGATATTACAAGGCATATTAGTAAGGTTACAATTTTCTTCAGACTACAGTACCTGAATTTGCTGCTCTTTATCTCTTTAGGAGTGATTTTGCAATGTAGACTACCACTGTTGTCAAAAACATTAAAGTACAAGAAGTTGGAGTAGCTGTGTTTGATCTTGGCAAGGGGGACAAACAAAGACATGAAGGTTGAGGAAAAGGGAAAAACTACATTCTACACGTTTTCACAAAAATGTCCAAGTCCATGAGCATAGATACTTTGCTAATCTTTTAATTAGCTCTTTTTTCCCAACACTTACTGTGTAAATAGGACTGGGTTACATACTTGTCCTATTGCAATTTTTTTCTTATTTTGACAATAAGAAATATGCATAAAGCCTATGTAGTTAAAACCAAAAAGGTCTTTTAGGAAATTAAGTAGTCCTACTTATCATAGTGTTGAGGAATATTCCCAATTCTAAAATACTAATATTCTGTAATGTCACTAAAGACAATGGTAAATCACTAAGGTTTTGTAGAAAATGGCTTTGCTCAAAGTAGTATTCTGACAAAGTTTTTAAAAGGTCATATTGAGCAGAAGAAGGGAATGTAGAAAAGTGATTTAGCACCATGCACAAAACTAAACTCCAAGTAGATCAAGGACATCAAAATAAGGCTAGACACACTGAACCCTAGAAGGGAAAGTGGGGAAAAGGCTTCAACTTTTTGGCACAGGGAAAGGCTCTCTGAACAGGCATTCCAAGAACAACAGTTAATGAATGGGACCTCATGAAGATACAAAGTTTCTGTATGGACAAGGACAGCATCATTTAGGCAAAGCAATAGCCTACAGAATGAAAAAAAATAAACCTTCATCAACGATACATCTAGTACAGGGTCAGTACGTACAATAGATAATGACCTAAGAAAAACTGAACAGCAAGAAAATGAATAATAGGTTTTACAAAATGAGGTACATCCCTGGGAAGCTAGGAAACAAGGGAGACCCTAAGAGAGACAGACATACATGGTCCACCAGAGAAGGGAAAGTGGCAAGATCTCCTGAGATAATTGGGAGCACAGAGGAGGGGAGAGAGAGTTAGGAGAAAGAGAAGGGGAGAAGAGGAGGAGAGAGGAGGACATGAGAGAGCAGGAAGACTGACTCAGGGGAAGAATAGAGGAGAGCAAGAAAAGAGATACCTTAATAGGGGGAGCCATTATAGGTTTAAAGAGAAACCTGGCACTAGGGTAATGTCCAGAGATCTACAAAGTTGACCCCAACTAACAATCTAAGCAATAGTGAGGAGGCTACCTTAAATGCCCTTCTCCCATAATGAGATTGATGACTACCTTATATGTCATCCTAGAGCCTGCATCCAGTAGCTAATGGAAGCAGAAGCAGAAGCAGACACCCACAGCTAAACACTGAGCTGAACACTGGAATCCATTTGCACAGAGGGAGGAGAGATAAGGAAAGTGTTCAAGACCAGGCTGTAGAAACCCACATAAACAGCTGACTTCAACAAGGGGTAGCTCATGGACTCAGACTGACTAGGCACTGCTCCAAATGATATGACCGACTTTGACGATTCCCCATGGAAGGCCTCACCCTCCCTGGGGAGCAGAAAGGGGATTGGATAGGGGTAAGTGGGAGGCAGGGGAGGAGGGGAGGGAAAGGGAGCTGGGATTGACATGTAAAACAAGATTGTTTCTAATTTAAATAAAAAGAAAAGGTAAAAAAAAAATGAGGTACAGAATGAATCCGAGAAATCTCAAAACATGAATCACAAGTGGCTGAGAAACAGTTAAAGAAATGTTCAACATCCTTAGTCATCAGATGCATGCAAATTAAAACTACTTTGAGAGTTCATTTGATGCCAGTCAGAATGGCTATGATTAAGAAAACAACTGACAGCTATGCTGGTAAGGATTCAGACAAAGGGGAATACTCATTCGCTGCTGATGTGACACATTTATACAACTTATACAGGTGCTGTGGAAAGCAGTGTGGTGTTTGCTTAGAATAGATCTACCTCAAGAACCAGCTATACCACTGTTGGGCCTATACCCAAAAACCTTTCCATATAGAGATCCTTATTTATTTATTTATTTATGTATGTATGTACGTTCATTGTTTGCTGCTTTGTTCAGAATAGCCAGAAAATGCAAGCAACATAGACATCTGTCAATGGATGAATGATGAAAATTATAGTCCTTTAAAAAAACGGGTTATTATTCAGTTGTTATAGATGGCACTAGAATAAAATCACCCTGAGTGAGGGAACTCCAACCCCCAAAGACAAATATTGTAACTTTGATATGTTTGCTACAAACCAATAAGTACAGAGTATACATATCTAATAAGTGACTAGAGAATGAATGAATGAAGACAGAATATATTATTATGGAAAAACAAGGAAACTAGAATAGGAGGATTAAATATAGAAGAATATGGATGACAAGTGTAAAAGAGGGAATGTTGGAAATGACAACTAACACCAAAGACCATTTGAAAAACCATACGCAAACGTCTAAAGTGCATACATAATTGAGAGGAATATAAATAGCAGCATGAAATAATAGGGAAGAAAATGTCCCCAACTGGAAATCTTACAGCATCAACTAAAATCTCCACAGCCATGAAAAGGGTTTAAATCTTGTTGAATTGTTTGCCAAGGGGCCACCTGGAAAAGCCCAAACAGTACAGGCTACTGATAACTATACACAAATTTTGCATATCTCATTGAACGTGAAGAAATTAAGCTGATGTCTAACTAGAAGCTTCATCCACATCATCAATGACATATCATCTATGTTACTAGATAAATATATATCATTGTGGTACTGGAGTATTCTCTACACAACAAAAGATGACACAGAGAGTCACCAACTTATGTTAGAAAGCTCACTGTTGTAATGCTTTGCCTTTATATAATGTAAATCTTTCTTTGGCATCTTGTCAGTTTGACAACACAAAAAGTCTTTTTCAAAGATCCCAGACTCATCTTTTGAAATGCAATCATCTGTTTATGCCCATACCACCATACTAGATCTCATTTGAAATATTGAATATTTTCAGGAAGATTGGAAACTTTTACCCCAGTCTCTGTGGGATAAAAATCATAGAGTAAGTGGTTCTTTCAGTAAATACTGATTGTCAAATCTCAATGCTCTGGCCACACTGCCCAATCTTCTTTGTTGTCTAATACCAGTATTGTCTTCTAGTACTCCCTTACTCTCCTCACCCCACAAAGATCATCTTGAGGCTTAAAATTCTTCTGCTTTTGATAGAGTTGGGTAAAATCTTTCTTCCCTAAAGCATCAGTTTTTAATAACTTTTGAAATGTCCTATTTGACTTGCCCAGTATGTTTTTTTCTCTGTGCAACTGTCTCCAGATTCTTACTATGGATTCCCTTCAGTTCCCTGGTTTTTGTGATAGCTGTTGAAAGAATTATTAGAAATACAAAGAAGACCCTGTATGAATGTGCATACTTGGGTATTCATAAGGCTCTTTCCAACTATGTTCATAGCAGCATTATTTGTAATAGCCAGAACCTGGAAGCAACCTAGATGCCCCTCAACTGAAGAATGGATAAAGAAAATGTAGTACATTTACACAATGGAGTACTTACTACTCAGGAGAAAAAAACAATGGAATCTTGAAATTCAAAGACAAATGGATGGAACTAGAAGTAAACATCCTGAGTGAGGTAACCCAGTCACAGAAAGACAAGCATTGTATGTATTCACTCATATATAGATATTAGACATAGAGCAAAGGATTAAACAGCCTACAATCCACACCGCCAGAGAAGCTAGGGAACAAGACAGATCCTAAGAGTGATATAAATGGTTTGCCAGAGAAGGGGAAAGGGATAAGCGCTCCTTAAGCAAATTGAGAGCATGAAGGGAGGGTGGAAGGAGGGGGGAGGAAGAGAAGGGGAGAAGAGGAGAGGGGAGGAGAACAGGGGGGATCACGAATATTGAGTCAGGGGAAGAATGGAGGAGAATAAGGAAAGAGATACCTTAATAGAAGGAGACATTATAGGTTTAAAGAGAAATCTGGCACTAGGGAAATGTTCAGGGATCCACAATGATGACCCCAACTAAGAATCTAAGCAATAGTGGAGAGGCTAACTTAAATGCCCTTTCTCTATAATGAGATTGATGACTACCTTAAGTGCCATCCTAGAGCCTTCATACAGTAGCTGACAGAAGCAGAACCACAGCTAAGCTCTGAGCCGAACTCATGGAATCCAGTTGTATATAGGAGGAGTGATGAGCAAAGGGGAGTAGACCACGCTGGGGAAACCCACAGAAACATCTGACCTGAGCAAGTGGGAGCTCATGGACCCCAGTCTGACATCTGGAGTACCAGCATAGGACAGAAGCAGACCCCCTGTATGTGGGTGTCATTAGGAGGCCTGGAAAGTCTATGGGGCCTCTAGCAGTGGAACAGTATTTATATCTAGTGTACAAATGGACTTTGGGAGACCATTTCCCATGGAGGGCTACTCTCTCAGCATAGATATACAGGGGAGTGCCTAGGCCCTGCCCCAAATCATGTGACAGACTTTGATGATCGCCATGGAAGTCCTCAACCTCCCTGGGGAGTGTATGGAGGATGGGATGTGAGGGCTGGTGGGAGGCATGGGATGGAGAGGGAACTGGGATTAATATATAAAATACAATTGTTTCCAATTTAAATAAAAATTTGCATATATTTAAAAAGGAAGACCCTGTACAACAGTGGTTCTCAGCCTGTGGGTCATGACCCCTTTGTGGTGAATGAATGACCCTTTCTCAGTGGTCACCTAAGACCATTGGATAACACAAATATTTACATTACAATTCATAACAGCAGCAAAATTACAGCTATGAAGTAGCACCAAAAACAATTTTAGGGTTGGGGGTCACCACAAATTGAGGAACTGTATTGAAGGGTCACAGCATTAGGACAATTGAGAATCACTGCAGTAGAAGTTAACTGGGTATTATTAAAATATAAATTTAAGCAGTCACAGGAGGTAAGTTTAACAATTGTCCAAGCATTCATAAGTCCATCTATATCTGAAATAAGCTTCAAACTATTTCTGAAGTTTCTAGAACATAACAGTTAACCCTGCAAAAGTTTGCCAAGCCCATTTGGGTTGACTCTTGGGAAAAAGACAATGGTATGTTCATGATCCTTGTTTTTTAACAGAAAACCTGTGCTGGATACAATATTATGACCCTTACTGCAATTCAGAATACCAATTATCCATTATCCACCCATGGGTCAGAGGAGAAAGTCACTGTTTACATTAAATGCTTGCAAAGGTAATGGGAAAATGGAGCAAAATTGTTTTTTTATTATATAGAATATAAGAAAACCCTGAGTCTACAATCCCCACTGCCAGAGAGATAGGAAACAAGGAGGACCCCAAGAGAATATTGCATAGTACCTCAAAGAAGGGGATGGGGACAAGAACCCCTTACCAAAGTGGGAGCCAGGGAGAAGAAGGAGAGCCTTCATCCGGTTGCTGTTCAAAGCAGAAACAGGCACGCACAGCTAAGCACTGAACCATACTACTCGAATCCAGTTGTGGAGAGATTGGAGGGATGAGTAAAGGAGCTAAGAGGTGGCTGGAGAAACCTGCAGAAGCAGTGGACTTGAACTGATATCATGGAGACCCTTGTGATAAAGCTGGGGAAACACCATAGGACCAAACCAAGCCCTCTGAATGTGGGTGCCAACTAGGAGACCAAGACAGTCTATGGGTCCTCTGACAGCGGAGCCAGTCTTTATCCCTAGAGCACAAATGGACTTTGGGAGCCCATTCCCTATGGAGGGATACTATTGCAGCCCAGATACAGTAAGGAGGGCCTAGACCCTCCCCAAATGATATGGCAGACTTAAAGGTCCCTGGTGGAGGACCTCACTATGCCTAGGGGGGAGCGGGGGTGGTGGGGAACATGGGAGCATGGGAGGGCGAGGGAATGGGGGGATGGATACGTAAATATGAGTAGTAATTAAAGAATTTACATAAAAATAATTAAAAAAAGAAGGCAGGGTGACCTGGGCCAATATGTAATTGAATAACACTGTGGACAGAAAAGGGGAAGTAGAATGTACAGAATTTGGAAGCTGTAGTAGCATCTTGACTTGCCAGTGAATTTGTGTTAATGGCCACAGCACTTCAGGCTTGGCTTCAGGTGAGGATATGACCAGAAGGTAGAGAAGCTGGGAGTGGTGGTGGGGTTGGGGTGTGGGGGGAGGAGAGTGGGGTGTGGGGGGGCATGTAAAAAAGAAAACAATGAGATATAAGGAGCACCAGTTCTATGTGAAAAACAAATATATACTATAAGAAAAAGTCAGTGCACTAAAGCAGACATGGAAACACATCTGCAATCCCTGCAACTGCACTCTGAAGACTGAATCAATGGAACTGCAAGTTCAAGTCAGTGTGGGTTATATAGTGTTACCTCAAAAACAAGTAATTGGATAAAATGTTCAGGTGAGAAGAGGTGATATTTATTCTAACATTTTAGTTAGGTACGTATTATGGAGTTTTCAAAGCTTGAGTTTCAGAAATGAGTAAGGCAATCAAAGCCCCAGGGTGCATACAGCATCTACTGAATTGAAGGCATAAAATAATAGTAATGGTATTAATAATTGAATTAGTAGTGGTAGCAGTAGTAATATACTAAATGCTATTAAGGAATTGAAAACCAATGTCCAAATAGAAAGTGACTGAGGAGATATTCTAGACTGGACTGAGATGGAAGCAAAGAAAGGCCTTTGTGAGGAAGATGGAATTTGGCTGTGGTCAAATGACCAGAAGTTTCAAATTTATATTGTATAATCAATATCAACCTTAGCTCTAGTGCAGAATGTGAAGCTGAGAATGGCATGAACTGAGGACAGTATTGTCCCTAACACTGTAGACCATGATAAGATGCTCAAACATGTTTTTTCAGTGTGACAAGGAATCACTCTAAGTATTTAAGAATAAGGTCAGGATGGTATCCTCAGGTGTGTGTTTAAACAGATCATTGGAAGCTTTATGGGGAAGAAATTTTAGCCATGTATATCAGGAAGCAATGCCTCTGGGGTTCTTTCAGTGATAGACTAGGGTGGCTTAGATCAGTTTTTATTAAGAAAGGAATTTTGGTTTTAAAAATGGAGGCTTGGCATTAGATTTGTGTGAGAGGAAATAGGAATGGGTTCAGTGGTAACAGGAGCAGGTACCATCTTGGTTTAGACACTTGAGTGTGAGGTATACAGGCCTGGAAAAGAAGCATTAAAACTCCTCTTCTCCATAGAAAGTCATTCTGCGAGTTTCAAAAAAGAATGGATCTGAAGGAGAACATGAACTCACTTCAGAGGCAAACTTTAATAAAGGAAAAGAAAAAGCATGAAAAGACAGACTTCCAATAAACGTAAATGGTACTTTGGATGGGAATCTTTGCATGGTTCAGTGAGTGGACAAGGTACTCCTTTCTCACCTCCCCCATTGCCCAAAGAAATAAAGGCTAGCAAACAGTAGTTAGTGCCAGAAGAGATTCCACCTTTCTTCTCAATTTACAGGTCAATGTCAATGACTACTCCATATGCCAGCTGCCATCAGACCCTCTCTGAACTTCAGAGGAAGTTGAAGGGAAAGTCAGAATGTAACAAGGCCAAGTCAAACAACAAAGCAATAACAATTACAATGAATATTTTCCCTAAGAATTTTGTTTCTGAATAAAAACAATTTATGAGACTGGCCAATAGACCAGCAAAACTCTGCAGGTATTTTAGAATGTGAAATCCATGCTGAAAAATGATTTGAAACATGTGTCAAAAGGCTACACCATGTTGTCCTGTGCTTCAGCTGTGCTTGTATGAGCATCAGAGCATCAGTGCAATTACTAGAGGAGAAACTTTCATAACCACTGATAAAATACCTCACATCAGAAGAAATTCTTGAAACCAAAGCAGTAGCAACTGTTGCCTTAGCATACCAGACCAGTTGAGACTTAATAGTACACATTGTCCCTTAGTGTCCCAAGTCTTTCTCTTGCCACCCTTAAGGATACTTTCAGGGTCCTACAACATGAAGTAAATACTCGTGTGTCATTATTATATTTTTTGTTATTTGTTTAAAGCACCAATTGCTCCTATGTTTCCAGTGGCCTGAGTTATCATTGTGTGCCACCAACAAGCAGAAGATGAGACACTTACAATGTGTGGGAAGTCAGATCAATGAATCTTTAATGTGTCTTACTGTTCTAACATGACATAAGATACTGCCCATGAGTCCCACTGGACAGAGGGCTGTGAGCCTCTCACCTTGACTCCTAAGCAAAAACCCACAATCCTTGAACCTTTAGGAGACAGCATGTGGCTATGGAGGGCTTGGGAAGATAGGTTGAAATATTCTAGGCACAATTTCCTGTTTGGTTTTAAGGCTTCCAAGACATTTAGATAATTTCTTTCCATAATAATCATATGAAAGGTGAATTTATTTGGCCTTGGGTTTGGCATAACTTTCGTTCATGGTTAGCTTTGCTGCACTGCTTTTAACGACTTGAAAGTGTATATGTCATCTCTAATTGGAACTCCCAGGCAGAAATGATGCCATCAGGGAGCTTAAAATATGTGGCCATATGAGTCGCCCAGCAGACCAAACATATTGCTGTAAAGCAAATAATTTACATTTAAATAACTTATCTGCATTCACCTAATTTAAAAGTAATCTTTATTCTTTCTCAACTAATCCCCAAACTTATGGACTAGTTTGATCATATTTGTGCAATAAAATTGAAAATTTCAGATATGGTAGGTAATCAATTTTAGTCACCTCATCTGCGTTTCCAATCTCATTACAGATTGCAATTTTCAGTGCAGATTACATGATGACCCATCAGTGGCTTTGTTGTTTCTGAATTACTGATTCCTTGCCTACTGCCAGATAAGAACAAAGCCTATGCATCAGCCTGACAGCTTGCAAACAGAAAATGGGCTTGTAGGATTGGATTTAAATCCCAGGTGTAGGGGATAATTACCACATCACTCATGCAGTAACTGAAAAATGGTATTTCAACAAGAAAAATTACATTCCGTTTATAGTGCCAACAGAAATCATTATTTGAGGCTTCACACTGATTCCCTGTATCATTACATGTGCACTGTACTCATTAAAGGGAATGTTTGTTGCAACATAAAAAAGTTATTGTTTTAGGTACTTTAGTGGAGCAGGTAGCTTAAATTTAAGGTTTGTGGGAACTTGATGGTGTAGAGGTCATTTGGACTCTAATATGTACTGGGCAAGAGAAATGACAACCCAGATGAAGGGCTTTTCAACTGGCTCCTATTACAGGAGGTGTGGATGGATAGTACAAAGAAAATGGAGTATAAATCTTTTGTTTCTGAAACTTCAGCCATTTAACCCTACAGTATGTGCCAAACAGAAGGACAAATAATGACTCAAAGCTCGACAGAACATTTCCACATAGTGCATATTTTACCATTAGCATTGATGCCATCAAAGTCTAATGTATATATTCATAAAATAGGGAAGGACAGGCACCGTATTCATTCTTGAAATCATTAAAAAGAAGGCAGGAGCTGGCACACTGGAAATGAACTACGCACCCCTGGCACTTGCTCTATCACCTACAGGCCTGTGGTTGTTGTGTGAGCAGCACAGTAATGAAAGCAAGACTGGGCATTCATATGTCAATGCAGTAGGCTGCGTGTCGATGCTGAGAACACTACACTGTATTAACTGGAGCCCTGTTATATTTAAGACCAACTAGCTTTCTCATTAAGTTTACCAGAATAGCATAAGAAAAGAGAGTATCCTCTGCTTTGCTGTATTTTTGCATGGACTCCAAAAGGAGGCACTGACAGATAGATGGTAGGACAAATAGGTAATAAGTAGGTAGACAGTACATACATACATAGAAACATAGATAGATACATAGATACTTATATAGATACATAGAGAGATGATAAGATGAACTTTATGTGCCAGTTCACAGTGACTTTCCCAGTATTTCCCACATTATTTACATATGTTTATATATATTCTTACACGTATGAAATATTTTATTATGTCTGTGCATGTGTGCATATGTGTGTCTGTATGTTCCTGTGGTGAACTTGTGGAAAGCAGAGAACACCCTCAGGTGTCAGTTCTCACATGCTACCTGATTTGTGATAGGATCTCTTGTTGATTATACCTTTGTACACCAGGCTAGCTGGTCTGGGTGCTTCTGAAATGCTCCCATCTTGGTTTCTTGTCTCAGTATTGGAGCACTGAGATGCCAAACTACCAGGCCCAGTTACACAAGTGTTCTGATAATTAGAAGACTGATTCTTGTGCCTGTGTGGTAAGTGGTTTAACCATTGATCAATTAATATTTTGAGAGTAATTAATTACTCCCAAATTAATAATTTGTTCCTATTTCTCCTTACATGAACTGACAAAAGACCATCTATTGAGAAGTTTAAAGTACAACTGCAAAGAACTACAAATGTATTTTCGAATCTTCTTTTCCTCTTACCTCTTAGAGGCTCTTGAACTGATGATCTCTTCACAATGGCCAGGGCTTCTCTGATGTTGATACTGGCTTGCATATGTGGAAGATACACACAATTTCACATTTATTTCTTTAGCTTTGGAAGATATTTTCTAAGAACTAGCTCCTATCTTCTGTAACCTAGGAGAAAGTTTACACAAGCAGGCAGATTGCTGCCTGAGTGCAATGAGTGTATGCTATGTTGGAAACTGATTTGGAAGTAAGAGTAAATAGTGAAACAAGATCCCAAGCATTAAGGACTGCAAATGCTAGAATTATAGATCTTACAAAGGAGTAGCAACACCTGACTAGAGGAAGCTGTGTACGGAAAAGAGATTAGGCAAAAGACAGTCTGCAAATTGTTGTAAAGGGCTGAGGGAATTCCACTAGCAAAATCTGTACAAATTAATTCAAAATGCATTGTGCTTCTTCTCACTCTCAAACATGAGTGGGGGTTGGCATTGAAAGCAGTTATAAGGCAGTTAATATGTTAATCTAACAACTAATTATAAAAACATATAACAGTGTGTGTGCTGCTAATCTAAGGATAAGTGCTAACCACTTAAAGTGACTCATGATTTACTACTTATATCAGTCTTATGGGGGCTACTATCATGACATTTTAACAGGTAGAAATTGAGATATGAAAGGTTTTATTGATCTACCCCAGACAGACAGATATGAGCACCTTACCTTCTATAAAGCCTATATGATTTTTTAAAATAATTTTTAATTTTTAAAGATAATTATATAATTGCATAATTATTTTAGTATATGTGCATCATGTTCCCCTTCCTTTTCTATTCAGACTTAAGACCTGATCAACAAGGGAAATCTTACCCGGTGCTGGAAACCTAGGCAGCTACCAAGGGCTAATGAAGTCATGGATCTTGGAGGAGAATCTACAGCCAGCTCTTTGCTAAACCAGCGTAATCCCTACCAGCCATCAGTATATTTGTCCACATAAACACAGATAACTGCGGTCCTCACCGTGCACCAACACAACTTCTCTTTGCAACAAACAGAGCCTATACTCTTAACCATAATATTATGTAAACTTCTACATTAAAAAGTGTTCAGTTACAAACTTTCTTAGAAAATTTTGAGTCCTTTTTGTCCTATGGTAGAAGGACAACAGTGTTGTATTTACAGACTACCTAAGACAGAGCATGCACACTGTGCTGTCAGCTCTTTTGAAACAATGACTTGAGGACTCAGTTATCAGTGGTAAGAACACACTGTCAGGTGTCAGTCAAATTTTACATTTTCTCTGAGAAACACATCAGATCCAGCTAGTCCAGTATTTAGAGTCTTAAAACACAAATTGTACCCTGTACTCCCCACTCAGAACCACTTGAGGATAGAAGTCTCTTTTCAATGGCATCATAGAGGAACTTTTCATCCAGACTTTATCAGAGAGAACACTGTAGCTTTGGCGTGGATTATGTAGTCACATTAGAAAATGGATTAAACTGCAGGCAAATGTGAAACTGCTATTCTGTCCTCCAGGCTGTACTGTGGAGAATGAGATTTGTCTGTTTTTGCACTCTTGTGGACTTACACGGTGTGATTTAATTGGAGGTCAACATATGGCTGAACTGGCGATTACAAACTGTGTTAGCAAATTAAAACTGAACGAACATGAATGTCATTTCTCACCTGCACGGTCCTTGTAAGACATAGGACACATTTTCACCAGGTAATCCCTGTACCTTCCCAGAACCCTCTTTCTGGACTCAATTGTGCTGTGGCACATAATTTAGTAAGAAGCCAATCAGCCGCATTCATGTAAGCATCTCACAGGAATCCTTGTTTAGGGATGCTGATCAAACATCTCCCCTATGTGAATAAACTGTCTTTGCCCAGAGTGAGAAAATACACTGTGTGTATATTTTTCAGATTTTTTTGAATTAGAAAAAGGATGGTTTTACATGACAATCCCAGTTCCCTTCTTCCTCCCGTCCTCCCCTACCACTCCTCCCAAATAAAACCCTACTACCCTATCTATCACATATCCTTTCTGCTCCCCCTAGATGGTGAGTCCTTCCATAGGGTCTCATCAGAGTCTATTGTACCTTTTGGGATAGGGCCTAGGCCCACCCCTGTGTGTCTTGGCTCAGGGAGTATTCCTCTATTTGGAAAGTCCCAAAGTCCACATGTATGAACTACTACAGGAGGTCCCGTAGATTTCTGAGGTTTCCTCACTGAAACCCATGTTCCTGGGGTCTAGATCAGTCCCATGCTGGTATTCCAGCTATCAGTCTGTGGAGCAAGAGTTCCCTGATGTTAAGGTCAGCTCTTTCTGTGGGTTTCACCAGCCTGGTCTGGTGATAGGTTGAGTCAGGGGAAGAATAGATGATAACAAGAATGGAGATACCATAATAGAGGGAGACATTTTAGGATTACGGAGAAATCAGGCACTAGGGAAATGTCTGGAGATCTACAAAGATGACACCAGCTAACAATCTAAGCAACAGAGGAAAGGCTACCTTAAATGCCCTCCCCAGATAATGCAATTGATGAGTAACTTATATGCCATCCTGTAGCCCTCATCCAGCAGCTGGTGGAATTAGAAGCAGATACCCACAACTAATAACCCAACTGAACTGGAATCCAGATGCAGAAAAGGACAAGTAAAGAGCAAAGTGGTCCAGACCAGGTTGGTGAAATACCCTGTGTTTTCTTTAAGGAATGTGATTAGTACATGTATAATTTACAAACAACACAGTATTTTCATTGAGACACAAACATAAATGGATTTAGTCTCTGTTGAATCTCAGCTCTTTCTGTCTGGGATGAAAGAGTTGTTCTTCTGGCCCCTTGGCATGCACTTTAGAAAGAGCCAGGGAAGCCGATGATTGCATTACCTAGGAGAACTCTTTTTTAAAACCTTTCTTACTCTATAGAGCTTTGTGGCTTAATTTTGTTTTTCCTACATGTTAGATGTCCCTTTCTGGTGCTCCCTCCTGCTGTGTCGTTCACTCCTGGCTTATACCTCTGCTCCTCCATGCTTAGAGGAGGTGCTGCACAAATTGCAGACTAGCACATTGTATGGAAGACTGAGAGCCTCTGAAATGAAATCACAGAGAATTAGTAAGGGTAGCTTTGTAGTTTGGAAGGTAGAAGTAAGAGGCCTGGAAGTGGGGTACGCCATATGACATGAACAAACAAGTGAAACAAAGGGAAGACATGGAGCTAAGGGCAAGCCATGAACAGATCTAAACAGAGCCCTTTTCTTCCACATTGCCCTCTTCTCCCTCTGGGATTCTGGAACCCCCCTCCCCCAAGATATTTGTGATGTATAGTGGGAAATTACCAATACAGAGTCAGGTAGAAATATAAGGGTATTTAATAGGGAAAAGCCTTACTTACAGAGCAACCTAGCCAGCCGGCATGGCAGCGGTCTGTATTCAAGCCCCAAAGAGAAACCTAAAGAGAAAACGCAGTCACACTACATCACCCTGACCATGCCCTCGCAAGCGTGGTCAGGCACACCTGTAGCCAGCCCCTAAGTAGGCGTGGCTACAGATTCCCCTACAGTGATGGAAGGAGGTTTCTCTTTATCCCCACCACATTTTTTTGAGCCTAAGATAATGTTTACAGGATTCTAAGGTACCTCATATGAAACATCATTGAAGTAAAAGGAAGACTAAAATGTCTTCCCTCTGAGGGAGACCAAGACAGAGGTGGTGAGACAAATATGTTAGCTGTCCAGCCCACACCTGCCAGTGGTACCTGTTATTTTGTGCCACCAAAGACAACTTTGGAATTGCTCGAGGCCCACAAGTCAATGCTTGTTTTACTTTGGAAAATGAAATATACCTCTTTTTACAATTTTTAGAATTCTGGGGCATCTTTGAACAAAGCTCTCTAGGGTGTATTTATTACTTAACCCAATATATAATAATATATAAATAAAAAATGAGGAGCAAGGGTGAGCCAGAGAGTTGCTGTTGACAGTAGAGAGCTGTTTCTCAGATATCTGTGAAATTTTGTTTTCTGAGATAGGATCTTATTATCTAGCTTGTTTCCACCTAATCAATGTTGGAACTACAGGCATGTACCATCACATCTGACTCCCGAACTGTTCTTAAGTTCAAAGATACAGAATAGTTCACAGGATGGCTCAACTCTTTAATTAATATTTATTACTCATCTACAGGCCCTAGAACTCTATGCTGGGTGCTTGGAGCAAGATGAACAATATCTGATTCTGTTTTTAATCATTTTATAATCTAGTAGAGGTTAAAGCTTCCCATTCTGGCTACAATATCAAAAATTAAAAAAAAAAATCTTTATTACAGAACCTAGAAGACAAACGTCATCTTTAATGGGGGTGACTAGAGAAATTCCTGCAAGAGATATGTTGAGTCATGACTTAATAAGAGGTAAAATTTTGCATTACTGGGTTTAGGAAATGAATCATAAAAGGATAGAAAAGAGAAGAAAATGTGGATTGTGTGTTCCAGGGTTGTGGAAGAAGAGTGCCCATCAAATGCCAGCTTGTATATCTTCTGCTATGCAACAGGAAGACCATATAGTACATGCTGCAGCAGAAGATACCGCCCCAGCATATAACACTTACGGAGGAAACAGAGGGGCTGGATGGGAGACTGTTGATTTCAGTGAAAATAAGGGTTTGATGAAGACAGTGTAAGAGCATGGAAAAGGCCACAAAAAGTAAGAGGCACAGCAGGCTCACCAGACTCTGCTAGTAGCACTAACATTAAAGCATTCTGAGTCTGACTGGAAAGCCAGGCAAGAAAGAAATCAAGAGGAGGATGAAGCAGAAAGGAAGACAGAAAAAGAAAGGAATCAGGGAGGAGGATTCAATTGAGTACTGAGTATATCACAGGACCAAAGAAAGCAGACATTTCAAAAGAGAGCCCAAGGTCACTAATATCAAATTCTCTACAGACAATGATAAGAATGATAAATAGCCATTGGCAATCAGAGCCAGGAGGTCATTGTGCTTTGCCAAGAACAGAGTTTCAGATTACCAAAACTCGGGGACAAGTAATAGCTGGGAAGTAGACTCATAGATGATCTTCCGAGATATTTTTCAGTGGTACGTGGTGAGAATGTGACTTAAATAAGCATTGTTATGCAAATTAGATGTATCAACTGGCACCATCTTTTTGGAAAGCACTCTTGGGTAGGTGAGAACTCCAAATACACACCTCTGTTGTGCTGAGACTTGAAAAAAATACCCCCGGGGGGGGGGGGGTGGAGAGATGGCCCAGCAGTTAAGAGAATGTACTGCTCTTTCAGCAGACCTGAGTTCCACTCTCACCACCTACATCAGGCCATTCACTGTCACTTTAAATCCAATATTAGAGAGTTTCAGCACCTCTGACCTGTGCGGTCACCTGCACGAATCATTCACATATCTGCACATAGACACGCAATTAAAAAAAACAACAACAAACTTGTCATGTGATTCAATCGTATTTGTAATTCAAATAAATAAGTCAAAAAAACAACAAAGCTGTGTATTGGTGGCACTTGCCTTTAATCCCAGCACCCAGGAGGCAGAGGCAGGCAGATCTCTGTGAGTTCAAGGCCAGCCTGGTCTCCAGAGTGAGTAATAGGATAGGCTCCAAAGCTACACAGAGAAACCCTGTCTGGAAAAACCAAAAAAACACAACAAAAACAAAAACAAAAACAAAAAACAACAAAAACCCTTTATTTTGATCATCAGGATGTGTATTGCACAGTACTGAAACATTTGAAATGATCTAAGCATGTGGATCAAAGTGGGAACAACAGCTGTCTCTGACTCTTTTGCAGGCCTCTAGGATCCTACTCCTCATACTGGTCACCTTGCCCAGGCTTAATACATGGGGACATGCTTAGTCTTACTGCAATTTGATATGCGAGGTTTTATTGAAACTCATGGGAGTTATTTCCTAAATATAAAAGAAGGAGGAATGGATTAGTGTAATGAGGGGTGGAGGTAAAGGGCCTGGGAAGAGAGAAAGAAGGGGTAAATGTGGCTGGGATAGAAAATAAATAAATAAATTTGTTAAAAACTTCTATTGTATTAAAAGAAAACTTGGTCATCGAAACAAATTTCTATTCTGTTACTTATTATTGAGTTACAAAAATCAGTTATGGGATAGAGAAATGACTTAAGAATGAAAGTTCTACTATATACAGATGACACATTGGTGGAGAAAGAAATCAGAGAAGCATCACCCTTTACAATTGTCACAAACAACATAAAATACCTTGGAGTAACACTAACCAAAAAAGTGAAAGACCTGTACTGTAAGAATTTTGAGTCTCTAAAGAAAGAAATTAAAGAAGATACCAGAAAATGGATAGATCTCCCATGCTCTTGGATAGGTAGGATCAATATAGTAAAAATGGCAATCTTGCCAAAAGCAATCTACAGATTCAATGCAATCCCCATCAAAATCCCAACACAATTCTTCACAGACCTTGAAAGAACAATTCTCAACTATATATGGAGAAACAAAAGACCCAGGATAGCCAAATCATCCCTATACAATAAAGGAATGTCTGGAGGCATCACCATCCCTGACTTCAAGCTCTATTACAAAGCTATAGTCCTGAAAACAGCTTGGTATTGGCACAAATGGAATAGAATTGAAAACCTTGATATTACCCCACACACTTATGAATACCTGATTTTTGACAAACAATCCAAATTTGTCCGATGGAACAAAGAGAACATCTTCAACAAATGGTGCTGGCATAACTGGGTGCAAACTTGTAGAAGACTGCAGTTAGACCCAAGCCTATCGACTTGCACAAAACTTAATAAAAAAGAATCAAAGATCTCAACATAAATCCAGCTACACTGAACCTATTAGAAGACAAAGTGGGAAATACCCTTGAATCAATCAGTACAGGAGTTTGCTTCCTGAACATTACACCAGTAGCACAGACACTGAGATCAACAATTGATAAATGGGACCTCCTGAAACTGAGAAGTTTCTGTATGGCAAAGGAAACAGTCAGCAAGACAAACCGGCAGCCCACAGACTGGGAAAAGATATTCACCAACCCCATATCTGAC